AGGCAGTCGAAGATAGACTTAGCGTCCGTAGCATGAACTCCAGGCAAGGGCCGGTGCAACTCACAGTTGTCACGTAGCACAGACACGTAGGGGCCGGCGTGCTGTCGCCAGTCGGCGGTCGGAACGTCCCCGAAGCAAGCGTCACGAAGCAGCAGCTGAATCCAGTCGGATTCTCCAAGGGACTGGCAGAGGGAGTTGGCCTCACCGGCCAAGGATGAGTTGGCGGCTCGACGCATCTTGGAGGATCTCCAAGAAAGTATCGTCACCTTGCTGGTCGGTCCGGCGGCCAGCTGAGGGTCAGCCACTCCTACAGCCCAAGCACATTGTATAGGCGAGTCCGTGCCGATTCCCGCCGCGTCGCTCAAGGTGAAGCTCACCACCTGCGACAGGTCGTGGCGCCAGATGGTCAGGTACTGCGAGGCGGTGTCGCGCAGCATCTGGACGGCCCGGTTGAAAACTACGATGTCCTCCACTACCGCCTGCTCCAGCTTGCTGGCGAGTATGGAGGCCGTGCCCGCCACTTCAGGACGGGTCTCCTTCGCCGCCCAGTTGATCCGGTAGATGCCGGACCGGAGCTGCTCGAACTCGGAGCGGCTCAGAGACTCGTGTCTCTTGGAGCGGCGGCCCTTCTCCAAGACAATCGGATGAATCTCCTCCAATATGTACTTCTCCTGGTCCAGTCGAATGCGGTGAGCCTCCTTTCTGATGCGGCGTCCTGCAAACTCTGCCTCGTCACCTCGCCACTTGCCGAAAGTGAACCTGGCCTTCAGAGAGTCGGCCAACCACTTCGTGTGAGAGGCAACCGTTCCCAGCCAGAGATCGTCCACCTCTATCAGGACCTGACCCTTCAGGGCACCCTGCTCCCGGAGTGTCCAGTAGCAGGGCTCCATCAGCAGCTTCTTGAAGCCGAGGTCGCGAAGGTAGGAGGTGATCGTGGCGTGCCATTCCCAAGGGGCGTCGTCTAGACCATAGACGGCGACGTGTAGCTCAATCAGGCACCCGTCGGGAACGTGAATGCCAGTGAGCCCCTCGCAGGGAGCCACATAGATGGGTCCACCAGCCCTGCGGAGCCGTCTCGACTGACTGAAGGCGTTCTTGCAGTCCACGATGCTCTGGTCCATGCCATGGCCTAAGAGCACGAGTCCGAAGAGCATCATGGCCTCAGACTGAGGTGTCGGAGAGTATGTCACTAGATTTTCAGTGTCAGGATCTGCAAATCCGTGCACGCACCATCTGCTCTTTGCCTTTGGGGCACTGAACGTGCCCTCTTGTGCCTTCCATCGGCGTACCATTCTGGACGATAGCACCCGCTCTGGTCGGGTACGAAGCACACGAGTGGACTCCTCCTTGCTGAGGATCCGCAACACACTCGGCTTGTTGAGTACGCCCCACTCGGCCTCGTCCGATCGTCGGAACTCCTCGAGCTGCTGGGCCGAGAGATCCTTGAGCTTGACCTCCCCGCCGCGTGAGGAGAGCAGGGACCACTGCCCGGCGCTGTCCTCTGAGTGCTCGAAGATCAGATCCTTCCGGCCGTTCATGTAGGTCTCGATGTCCCCGCTCCAGCCGGAGTCCTCGAACCAGGAATCCAGCACCTCGCAGTAGCCCTCGAGAGCACTGAAGCCGGTCTCGTCCATCGGGGTCTCCGATCCCGCCCCCTGGGGCTCGGCCTGAGAGGAGGCTGCAGCGCTGCCCCGCTGAGATCGCCAGTTCTCGAACTCCTGGATCTGAGTGCGAACCCGACCTTCAGCCCTTGGCAGGAGCTCCATAGGTGTCGGAAGGCCAGAACCCCTGAGCTGCTCGTCGGTAGGTGCCCCTCCGGTCGCGGACCGGAGGGTGTCAGGATCTAGCCTGGCTCGCTTGAGCTCCGGGTCGTCCTCGGACAGTGAAGGACGTCTCGACGATGCCCGCGAGCCGCCAGCGGTGGCCACCGCCTGGGAGCCTGTCTCCGATCCGGCAGGTGTCGAACCAGTCTGGGACACTGGAGGTGTCGGCTCGGCGGCTGGCTCCCTCTGAGGTCCGGCTGCGGCTGAGCCAGCACTGCCCTGTCCGAGAGCTCCAGCGGGATCCGCTGGTGCGGGAGCTGACTCCTCGTGCTCTGGCACAGGTATCAGACGAGTCACTGGACCGGGAGCCCAGACGAGTCGAGGTCTTGGTCTCGCGCCGGCGGCCTGGGTCGGAGGTCCCAGTCCTGGCGGGGGAGCAGGAGGCCCAGCAGCTACTTGAGCCACAGTATCTGCGATAGCTGGAGTCGGAGCTGGAGTAGGGTGGGTGCTGGAGTCGGGAGCTGGAGCGGGAACCCTTGGAGCCTCGATGTTGTTGGTGCCCATGTTGGAGTCCTGAGGGTCCCCCTGGTGGCCTGGAGCCTCGTTGGAGCCTGCTGGTGCGACAGTCACTGGAGACGCGTTGCCCTCGGAGCTAATGGGAGCCATGGTGGCCTCTGGTGGTGGTGGTCCCTCTTGAGCAACGTCTAGAGCCCCTCCCGAGATCCCCTTAGCAAGCTGCTCGTCCAAGACGTCCCGATAGCACGTGGTCTGGATGAGCTCGGCCCCAAGAGACTCTGACTGCGTAGCAGGTCGTATCTGTTCACAACTGCATTTCCACAAGCGACTACGCACACACACCCACACTGTTGTTCCATGATGGAATATCACTGCACCTGGCCCGACCCACCGATCCCGTTGCAAACCGTATGGTTTGCGCCCTGTCTTGGGCGCTCGCCTCCAGATGTACACCAAATCCCCCGGTCGGTAGGTCCTGTCCCTGTGCCACGCCGATCCCAACGCATGCTGCAACTTCCTACGCGCATCTCCTTCCATCGCAAGCTGTCGGGCACGAGACCGGATCTCGTGTTGGTGTCGGAAAGCCGCCGCCGCACTGTCAAGATCGGCACTCGGTTCCTCCAGGTCGTGAAGTCCTATGTGGTCTAGCGGGTCCTCGCTGAGCAACTCCTGTGGTACCCTGGGGTTTTGCCCAAATACTAGTTGTAGTGGTGAATACCCGCCTCGATTCAGGAAACGATTCCGCCAGGCAGCCAATTCGCAGGCCGCCAGCTCTAGGTCGTCGGGGCCCTCCAGGATGGTATCGTCCACGAACCTCTGGAGCCGCTCCTTCAACCATTGACCCGCCCGCTCTGTCTTCCCGTTCTGCCAAGGGCTGTCTGCGTCGGTGGTGTGCTGGAACACCCCTTGTTGTTCTAGGTGTCTGCTAAACTCGGCCTCGAATTCCTTCCCACCGTCTGATACGAGGACCTCTGGAGGTCCGTAGTGTCGTATCCATCCCCGAGAGAAAGCTTTCCACACTGCTGCTGGCTGCGAACATCTCCCGGGTCCCACAAGCCCCACCCACTGTAGTGAAGTCCCCAGGCATACTGCATTCAGAAACGTGCACTCCCTGCGCTGATACGTCACAAAGAAAAGGTCTACTCCAATCAGCTTGTTGAATGAGAATGTCCGGGCAACTGCTGCCTTTCGCTGAAGGATAGACTTGCCGGCACTCTCGCAAGACTGGCACACGAAGTGATGTTGAACGTAGCGCAAGATCTCTGGCCGAGCGTGCGCACACCTGAGAATACGAAGCAGGTCTCTCTTGGTGGGATGGCCAAGATTGATGTGTGCCTTCTCCACCTGTCGAATCTGCTCCTGAGTCAACGGGCAGTCCTGCTGCTGCTGCTGCTCATCCTCCTCCACTTCGTCCTCGGAGTTGTCTTGCTCGGGGCCCTCCACCTGAGACTGAGTCGGTCTTTCCTGTCGACGAGACGCTGGCACCCCGCTTGGAAAGCTCTCGTCTGTTCTCAGCTGCTGAAGCTCTGCGGATCGGTGAACCGCGTGTGCTATGGCCCTGCAGAACTTAGAAGGATAGCATGCCGCACGTCGTGGTAGACCGCCTCCCTCCAGCACCAGATGTCGGTGGTCCCCGGCACACCGTTTTCCCAAGAGAGCCTTGTAAACTTCACAGTCGTTGGAAGCCACAGTGGTTGGTTTCTTGGAAATCGTGCCGGGCCTAACGGAAAGCCCAAACCTGCACATGTCAAACGTGATCCTGGACACGCCCGGGAGCTCCAGAAGCCTCTGAGTACTGGGAAGAGCCCAAGAGGTCGCGGTAGCAGGTTGTTCCAGGGCGAACTTGCGACCGCCCGAGATCTGAAGCTCGATTATCTCCATTGAATACGCCCACAGGTCCAATGCTCCCTCACGTGCTCGGGCCATCACGACCGGGTCTCGCCGCTCGTCGTTGACTGCGTTGATGGTGGCGAATTCGGTGCATGGAGGACTGAGAAATACCAACCACGGACGCCATTTCTTGATCAACTGCTTTCCTAGTTCCCTGTGATCCGCACGTCGGTAGTCCCAGCCCGTAGATAGGTCTAAGCTGCCGCCGGTCGGAGAGCCTCTGGAGCCCAGCTGAGAGGAGACCTTTGCCGTGCGAGGAGGTGAGAAGACTTCCACGAACTCGTATCCCCATGAGTTGGAGCCCGATACTCTTCCAAGACCTCGGAGACCCTGACGAAGACGACGCCTACTCCTCTGATCAACTCTGAACTGGTGGGTGTAGTTGTCCAGGCCCGTTAGGTTAGCTAGCGTGTCGTCGGAGTCGTGAAATAGCTCGGAGCCGCGTAGCGTCGTGATAGACAGGTAGCTCTGGAGTGGGACAACGTAGTAGGACCCCGCACCCGTAGACCCGTCCTCGACAAAGTAGGAGCTGCCCTGGGAGGTAGAGGTGGAGATGCTGACCCGGAGTCGGTATCGCCCGTCGTCGGACTCACACTGCCAGGCAGAGATAGAGGAAGGGTTGTGACAGGATGAGGAAGAAGAGAGAGGGCCCTCGTTTTTCTCCAAAACCTCCTGATCGACCCGGTAGCACTGGCCGCTCGCTCTGGCCTGCTCTAGAGCAACGCTGGCCTCTCTGTGTAAGCTGCGAGATGTAGGTATTCGAAGCCAGCACTCCTGTCGAGACTTGTCGCCAAGTAGTCGCAGCACGCCGCTCTCTCTCAGTTGCCCCTCATGTCGGTGTCCGCCGGGGCCTCCTCCACCATGGTGAACCCGAGGTTTGGAGATGCCCCGGTGGTCGTCGGTGGCGGTCCGGTCGGCGATGCCGGCGTGCTGGAGTCCGCACTCCCGCTTGCTGCTGGGGGTTCTGGTGCCATCTGCTGCATCGTGGCCACCATGTGCGAGAGCGTCACAGATTGCTCGCGTAGCGCTGCTGCCATCGGTCCCGTGGATGCCGTCATTGCCTCGGCCACTGCTGCCGATAGACCTCGCACCATCTCCGATGCCCACGGAGGTGGAGGCTCCTGGTTGAAGCTCGACCAGGTGTTCTCGTCGTTCGGCGCCGACGCCGCGCGTCGACTCGGAGCCTGGGCTGTGCCCTCCTGCGACGCCGAACCTGCCGAGCTCAGTGGCCTGACATCGCGCGGTAGCTGCTGCCTGAGCTTCCTCATCTCTGATGCCGTCATCTGTCGGTGGCCGTCCCCGCGGTACCCGATCTCTCGATAGGACGTCCTCACCTTGCACTTGCTGCACTGCTCCCAGCTCCCGTGCTGGTTGTAGGAGGTCACGAACCACCTGGGGCGATGCACACATAGCGTCCAAGGCACCGTCCCGTCTGCCAAGGGTGCCGACATCGGAACCCGGTACTCGTAGAGGTCGTTCACCAGCCTGGGGTCCTCCATCATCCTCCGACGAAGCTCCCTTCCTGGGAAGAGTCTCCCGCGCCTGTTCAGAGCGAAGAATTTGTCCATGAGGGTCTGTATCCACATCAGTCCGGCATGCAGCAGCCTGATCCACTGGATCTTGACCCTCTCTGAGATGTCCGAGTCTGGGCGGCTCCGCATCGACTTGAGGCGGATCTCGCGGTGAGCTCGGTAGTTGCGTCTGGCTCGAAGTTAGAGCCGAAACAGCTACGGGGTTGAAGTCGCAGCGGGAGTCGTGGTTGGAGGAAGGCATCGAAGGTTTCGAACTGCTGTAGTCGGTATGCAGGCTCCCGGGATCTCTCTGAGGTGCTGGGGCTCCTGTGGTGCCGTTTCTCTCCTTCTGAGGCCTAGAGGGATCCTTCCAAGAGAGCACGTCCTTTTTTTCAGTCGGGGCTCGGAAGGCGTCCGAGCCAAGGCCGGCTGGCAAGGCGCGCGAGCTGGGAGAGAAGCTGCTCTCTGTCCCGCGCCAGTCGTTGATGTAGATCCCCCGGTGGTTCTTCCCGATCCGGTGGGGCTCAGTCTCACAGTCCAACTTCTTCAGAAGAAGAAGATCCTTCTCGTAGTCCAGCACCGCGCCGAACTGCTCGAGAAACCCGCCTGGCAAGAGTGGAGGCAGGTCCTCCTCGGTCACCACGAACTCGACGGTCCCGCTCTTGCCGCCGATGGAGATAGGCACCACGGCGACTCCGACCAGCGTGGCCGATCCGCCGATGCCCCGAGGTGTCTGGACGCTCTTCTCGATCCAGTTGATCCGCAGGCCTCGTCGCTGCAGATCTCCCTCGAGCTCCTTCAAAGCCCGGCGACCTATGATCGCCTGGGAGGCGCCGCTGTCCACGATGATCAGGCCGCCCTCGAGAATCAGCAGCGAGAGCTCCGTGGTCTCTGAGCTGATGATCTCCCTGAGGGTCGCCAGCACCTCCCTGCCCAGGACCGTGATGCCGTCGAGGTTGAAGTCCTGGTCGTCGCTCGCGCCAATCGCCGCGAACGTGAAAGCCTCGATCTCGGCCCCTCCAGACCGAGGTTTGCCTTTGCCATCTCGCTCTCTGGGGCGGTGAGGATTCTTGCACTCTTTGTGCCAGTGCCCTACTTCACCACAGTTGCCGCACTTCGTGATCAGCTTCAGCTGTGACGGGGTGAGCCGGCGCTTCTTCTTCCAGAAGCCTCGATCCCGCTTGAGCGCCGTCTTCAGCTGCTGGTTCTCCTTCCACGCCTTCTAGGTCTTTCCGATCTGCGCCAAAGTCTCGACCACCTCTGGCTCCGCGAGGCTCTTCTCGGAGAGCTCGACGAGCACCATGGCCTCGTCCTCGGAGTCGAGCTCGTCGGCCCAGTACGACCACTCGTAGATCGGCTCCTCGACAGGCCCAGACTCTGCCCGATGGGGCTCGGAAGGTGGCGGCGCCTCCTCCGACCCCATGCTCAGAAGCGATGACTGCTTGCCGTCGCTCCAGATCTTCCCTCCGGTGTCCAGCTTGGGCAGTGCCCAGAGGATGTCCTCGCCCAGCATCGAGCCCTTCGTCAGGCTCTTGAGGTTCTGCCTGCCCTGCTCGTTGAGACGAGCTCCTTGCATCAGCAGCATGCCTTGGATCTTCTGCGGGATCTCCATCCCGATGCTCTTCGCCTTGTCGAATTGACGTCGGCGTCGCTCCGCGAAGGCGTGCAGGTCCTCGTCCTTCTTCCTCTCCGTGTCCTGCATGGCCTCACTGCCTGTCCGGTAGAGGTCGTCGTCCTCGCGCTCGCCGGACTTGAAGCCCATCCTCCTCAGTATGATCTCTACCGTCAGCTCGCTGTCTGGGATGTCCTCGAGAGTCGTCTTGATCTCCCAGGGCAAAATCTCCAGCAGCCTGTCTGCTGCCTGTACCTCGCTCAGGTGCAGGCTGTCCTTCCAGCGCTTCACGTACTGCTTCCACAGCCTGAATCTCTCCCAGCCTGGCCAGGATGGTGCTGGCTTGGGTTGGGTCCACTGGCCCTGCCACCAGCCGCGGTCGTGCTGCCATGAGCTGCCTTGACTGCTCCAACTCTGCCACGAGTTGTCTTGATCCCAGGCATGTTGTCGCCCGGGTCTGCTCTTCCATCCGTCGTCCTGATCCCAGGACTGTCGCTGCTCGGATCCGTCTCTCCACTCCTTCCAAGTGTCTGATGCCCTCATGGATGGTGGTGTGAGCTTGTCATCTTCTGCCCGCGCATCCTTCGCTCTCCATTCTTCTCGCCACGGGTCCTGTTCCGTCCAGGGGTCGTCTACCACGCTCCAGCCCGCCTCGTGAGATGGAGCCGCGCTCTGATCTTGACCGGCGAGCCCCTGGAGGTTGGGTGCGCTCTCAGGTGGCGCCGAGGCCGGAGATGTCCCTGTGCCCAGCCGTATCATCTGGGCCACCCTGCCCGCGATCTTGTCGATGTCTGCATCTGTAAGCCCTTCCTTGCCGCCTGCTGAGGCGGCTGCGCTCGAGTGGCTCATCACCCGTCTTCAGTACCTGCACCCTCGTTGGTCGCCCTCGCCCTGCCGCAGATCTGTGAACCGTCCTTCAGCTGCGCGCCCGCCCTGGGCCTCGCCACCAGAAGTCGTTCGGTGAACCACGCTCCGCCTACCACTGTGGGCACGACGGGTTCAGGCGGCCATCGCAAGATGTACTGAATGGGATGCCTTTGCACTCACTGCGCACAGAACAGCTTGAGCCAAAGCGTCAGTCACGGCGCGGCTGTGCACATGCAAGCAAACAACAGACACAGATGCAGAGAGCACAGATAGTCAGGACGAGAGGGAGCTATATGATTCCACACTGCTGACCCTTTTTTTTTATATATATATATATATACACACTATTTCTTGATATTTTGAACATATTATAATTGATGATTTGTTTACATATTTTTCCTCGATGTGGTGCGCAGCGGCGCCCTTCGTGGATCTTGATAGCTCCGCGACCACTGCGGAACCGGGGTCGCTCTCCACTGCCCCTGGTCCCGCAGCGGCGGGGTGGCGGCAATCACGACCGCAGGGGGAAGGACTTTCTCCGGTCGCTCGCTACCGTTAGCAATCCAGCCTCAAGCCCGCCCGATGCAAAAAAAAGCAAGGGCGCGGGGAAAGTATCTTGGGGAAGAAGCGACCTGGGAGCAACGAAGGGGCCAGAATAGAGTTGAGAGCCACACGAGGTATTTCACCAACAAAGAAAAATCAAGCAATCAAGGAATCAGACAATTTTGACTTCCACATGAGAGGGGGCGGGCCTTTTCCGAAGGCGGCGGGACTTCCCAGAAGCCCTCGCGCCTTCTGAGAAGCCGCCCGTGGCTTCAGAGAGGACTTGGAAGACTTCTCGTAAGGCTCGGTGACTCCGAAGGGTGTGGTTTGTCAAGGGTGCTGTTTGCAACCAGCATCTGCGGGGCGGGCGGGGACCTCGATAGAGCTCTCCGTCGCGCCCCGAGGATGCCCGACGGGGACAGCGTGTTGCCCTCCAGGCCCCAACGGCGCCGATCGCAGACCACACCCCGGCGCACCCACACCCGATGCAGTCGCCGAAAGGCGCGAGGGCCCTCTGAGAAGAGCCGCCTTCTCCTGAGAAGGCCCGCCCCCCGCCGCCGAGCTTGGCTCTCGGGTCATAGCTCTTGCAGCGAGGCGCGGCCACTGGAGCGCCCCCCGAGGCCGGATGACCGCGGAGAACCGACCGAGGCGCCCGAAGACCTCCAGGCTCGAAGCCAAGACTCGCACGCTGCCCCCCTGCCCCTCCTCGGCGCTTCAGGGACGGGGTCGCGAGGGACGGGGTCCGTGGGGCGAGGTGCCTCCGGCAAAGTGTGAGTCTGCCGCTGGATCCATTCCTGTTCCTGGGACCCCGCCCCTCCCCAGACATCCGGCTGCTCACATGCTTCGCTGCGTGTCCGGACGCCCAAGAGGAGTTCGACAAAAAAATGGGTACAGTGCCCCACAACACATGTTGCCCCAAACCAACAGCGGCCGCAGCTGGGCAGGCGGTCTTCTTCCTCGGATGGACACAGGCCCCGGCGGCGCAGACAGCGAGTCCTGCTCAAAAGGAACAGGAACTGCTGTTGGGCATTGCACTCATTATTTCCGTACCCAGTTCGTTCGCGCAGAGCGTGGGCCCGGAAGTCTGGACCACTTCCCGGGGGCCGGCTCTTCCTCCCGAGTCGCTCCCTGCCGGCCCCATGGGGCCTGGCGAGGGGCGTTAGAGTTATGTCGGGCGTGTCCCCCTACAGTGGGATTGTCGACGAAAAATAAAAAATATACCAAACATACCCCAAAATGGTCAAAAAAATACTCAAAAAATAGTGTCCCCAGGCTATCTTTGGAGTATGTTTGGACTATTTGTTGTGTATTTTCTATTTTTCGTCGAAAATCCTCCTGTAGGGGGACAGGCCCGACATAACGCCGGAGGCCGAAATCAGCCAAAACCCGCCCGCTCCAATCTTGTTTAGAGCGTCGGATCTCTGGGTATCCTCAGGTCGGGCATCTCCCCCTGCAGGCGGATTTTGGAGGAACAAGAAGACATACCCCACAAAAGATTCAAGAGTAGTCAAAATAAGAGATTCGACAATCGCCCCCCGACTGCTTCTTTGCTCTGTTGGTATGTTCCCCCTGTGAAGGGACACGCCCGACTTGAGGGTATCCTTGGGGCCCCTATCCCTCAGGACCGCACCTCCGAGCCGCCGAGCTTCGCCCCCTCTCGGCCCGCCGCCGAGCCTCCCCGGCGGCCGCCGCCGCCTCCGAGAAGCCGCCCGCCGCCGCCGCCTCTATACATGGAGGGGTGCACAACGCTTCCGCTTCCGGGGGCTCGCCCGGACCGCTGGGATCGGCGCCGGCCCGGAGCCCTCGCGCCGTGCGCAGAAACCACGTCGGGGATGGACAGACCTCCCTTTAGTAAAACGTGGTTTAGTGAAAACGACCTCGGGCCCAAACCTGGCGGGCGCAAGCCTGGAAAATGACGGCCGCGGCGCTCTCTCGAGAACCGAAAGCGGACAATGCACTTATCGACGTGTCAGGGTAGGAGGTCGATCCACCTCCGGCCACGACGGGAGATGTTTCCACAACGCTTCCGCTTCCGGGGGCTCGCCCGGACCGCTGGGATCGGCGCCGGCCCGGAGCCCTCGCGCCGTGCGCAGAAACCACGTCGGGGATGGACAGACCTCCCTTTAGTAAAACGTGGTTTAGTGAAAACGACCTCGGGCCCAAACCTGGCGGGCGCAAGCCTGGAAAATGACGGCCGCGGCGCTCTCTCGAGAACCGAAAGCGGACAATGCACTTATCGACGTGTCAGGGTAGGAGGTCGATCCACCTCCGGCCACGACGGGAGATGTTTCCATGTCGTCGGTCGCCTCCGTGGGGGAAGGAGGCCCGATGCCCGCGCGCTCGGGCGCTCCTTGCTGGGGGGCGGCGGGCGGCGGGGGGAGGAGCGTGCCCCGCTGCGGGCCCCATGGAGGCCCCTCCTCTGGGGAGCCCGCAGGGGCCTCCTCTTATTCCTGGCCCCCCAGAACCAGAGCTCCTCTTCGGCAGCCCTCGCTGCAGGAGGAGGAGGAGGAGGAGGCGGAGGGGGGAGAGGAGGGGGAGGAGGAGGAGGAGGAGGAGGAGGAGGAGGAGGAGGAGGAGGAGGAGGAGGAGGAGGAGGAGGAGGAGGTAGGAGGAGGAGGAGCAGGGCAGGAGGAGGAGGAGGGAGGAGGAGGAGGGGGGGGAGGAGGAGGAGGAGGAGGAGGAGGAGGAGGAGGAGGAGGAGGATGAGGAGGAGGAGAGAGGAGGAGGAGGAGAAGGAGGAGGAGGAGGAGGAGGGGGGCACTGATCGCCCCCCCCCCCCTCACGCGCCCCCCGGGAGCGCCGTGAACCACAACACGACGGGACGTGCCTCCCCGCGTGCGGTCTCCGAGAGGCGTGGCCCTCGCCGGGCCCCATGGGACCGTGCAAAAACAAATTCGGAGGAGCGGCCGGTCCCCAGGGAGGGGTCGAGACCTCCAGGGGGCCACGCGCGAGGATACGGCATCATGGTGTTATGGGGGGCTGGGCACTCGGATCGGCACCACCAGGCCCCCCTCCCTGGCGCGCCTGGCGCGCGGAGCGCGCCAGGGGGGCCCAGCGCAGACCCAGGACATCCGCTCGGGCCTTCGAAAGTGCAGCCAGCTCCGGGGTCCAAGACAAAACCCGCGCGCACCGCCGAATTCGTGTCTCTTCGTGCCGCTTCCCGCCATCGCTCGGACGCCCTCTAATTCCCTGTGCATGTGCTCGCACGGTCATTCAAGACGCTCCTCGATGGTCCTCGCCGAGAGACGGAGGAGGAGGAGGAGGAGGAGGAGGAGGAGGAGGAGGAGGAGAAGGAGGAGGGGGAGGGGGAGGAGGGGGGGGAGGGAGGATCCCCAGAGGTTTCTTCTTCCCAGAGCCTCGGGGTCGAGGTCGAGGGCGCCCGTGGGCACGGCCGCGGAGCTCTTGAGGCGCCGGAGCTGGTCCATCGAGGTCTCCCGCAGGCGCTGCAACTGCCCCTGAGCCTTCGCTGGTGGTGCTCAGACCGCTGTAGCTTCCCGTTGGTTCCCACCCCCTCCTCCTCCTCCCCCTCCTCCTCCTCCTCCTCTCCTCCTCCTCCCTCTCCTCCTCCCTCCTCTCTCCTCCTCCTCCTCCTCCTCCTCCTCCTCCTCCTCCCCTCTAGATCAGGAGCGAAAAAAGGACGTGCACGTACAGGAATCCACGCTGGTTTCGAGAGTATGCATTGCCCGAGTGTTCGTAGTACGCGGCCGGTCTCGCGGATCGAGGGGCCGCGTTCACGTACACAGCTGGGCGCGTGCGTCCTCTGCGGGCTCCCTCCTAGAGGCCTGGCAGGTGGGGTCCGAGCAGCTGGGGTCTCCGCCCATGCATCGGCGATGCGTCGCGCTGAATCGCCGACGCGATGCATCGTCGACGTCGGCGTGGAGAAAATCGGGCTCCGCATCGAAATGCATCGTCGATGCATCGGCCATGCGGCGAGAGCCTCCGACACCATCTACCCCGACCCCATCTACTCCGACCCCATCTAGGAGGCCTAGACCCCCACACACACACCACCGTTCGCAACATTTTCCTCCAACCATAACAGGACCAACAACACACTGGAACCAAAAGCAAAGATGAACAACAACAAGGCAACACCAAACGCAACCGAACAGAAGACGGCCCGAACGAGATTCCCAAAGCGGGGAGGGGGACACAAACACACCGTCAAAAAGGAAACAAGGACTAGGATGTGGAACCAGCATGCCGAACAGAAGCAGCCACCATGTGTCTTGAAACAAGACATGTCAGCTCAGGTCGGGCACGCCCTCCGACGGGCGGATCAAGAACGAGCCATCCAAAGAGCACGACACAAATCGTCACCAAACAGTTTTTCAAGACAGCTCCTCTCGAGCCTTCCTCCTGTAGAGGAGGAGGAGGAGGAGGAGGAGGAGGAGGAGGAGGAGGAGGAGGATTTTTTCTCGAGGGCCCCAGGGCAGAACATCAAAACCACGGCCTCAGGCCGAGACTGCTGCACGAGAGGCCTCCTCTCTCAGCCGAATCCTCTCCGCCAGGGCCGACATTCCAGGTGTCGAAATCAGGCCCGAGCGGGAGGAGGAGGAGGAGGACGGTCCAGGCTCAGCTGCTTTGAGCAGGACATACCTGGCCGAGGCACGACATGTGGTGCCCTCGCTTGCAGCGACCGTGCCCCGATTCCTGTAATGGGGCGGGAGACCTCGACGGATGCGGGACAGTGCACCTCGCCCGCTGGGGCCAGGAGGTCCGCACATCCCGCCGAGGAGGTAACACCGCTTGCTGGTGAAGGCACCACAGCGGAAACAGAAAACAGTAGGCGCACACTCGTCATCCTGCAAGAAAGTCGTGCACAGGAGGTGGCCACGCTCGCTCTCGGCACCTTGCAATCTGCGGAGCGCAGTGGGCAGGCCCTTGCAGCCGTCCATGGGTCTGCTGTCTCCAATCGCCGTCTTAAAACATCTCGAACACCTAGCGAGCGAGGGAGTTTCATCGTCCCCTGGGTCCAGCACACGCCAGTCATGCCACTCAATGGCACGGTGGGCCCGAGCTTTCACCCGCGGAACCGTGGGGTCCCGAACAAACTGTAACTTGGGAAAAAGAGACAAAACAGCACCGAACATGGCAACTAGCTTTCGCAGTAGAGCCACGTCCTTGTCTAATTGCTCGAGCTCCTCAACGGGTAACGAGGGGTGAAGAGACAAAGCATGCTTCGCCAGTCGGTCCGCGTCCTGGTTCCCAAGAGCGATCTTTCGTTCCTGGGCGGGAAGCGCGGCTATCACTTCGTCCGACCTGTGCGCAGGCGTGTGAGCAAAAGATGCGATGCTTCGCTGGCCTGGCTCCTGGAGAGCGCGCCGTCTGAGGCCAGCGAATGCCTGTCCAGGGTCCAACTGTACGGACTGGCGCGCATTGGCTAGGTTGACAACTCCAAGACAGTCCGAGTGGGCCTCACTAAGGCCTGTGGCCACACAAGAGAGAGTGGCAGCCCCGAGGTGTTCTCCCGACTGGGCCGTCTGAGGAAGGCCAGGCCACACCGTTCCCAGAAGTCGAGCGCGAACCTCATACGGGGTCTCGCTCGACGGATCGAAGAAAACAGCCGCATACGTGGCACGATTCAGCTCACGAAAAGCAAACTGAGTAGCCGAACCATCGACAACAATGCGGGTGTTGACGGTTCGTTCACAAAACTCTTCGACCGATAGTGGCTCACCTGACGGCCCTTGGAGAAGGGGGTCGAGGTCGAGGCAAGGGGGGGGGGGGCCTCAGGCTGAGCCACCATTAGCCGAGACCAAAACAGCAATTTTTCAGGCGGGCAGTTACACGCCGCTAGTATCTCTTCGTCTGAGAGATGCTCACGGCGTGCAGCTTCGACGGTCGGGTCCGAACACAGAAACTGCCTGTGGACTATGGAATCAAGCTCCCCACAGAGGGGACACAAACCGTTCGAAACGTACCCCGAGGATTTGAGCCGATCCGCAGTCCAGCAGGCCCCAGAGAAACACGCAGAAAGCCAGTATTTCTGCCGACCGTCGAGCTTCTTAGAGCGTAGCATTCGTCTCAGGGGATCGGGTGAGACGCGGGAAGAAGTGAACATCGGAGTGGCCTGGGCCATCCTACGCTCGTGCATCCGCTGGACGCCCTCCTCTAGCAACTTATTGAGGAGAGCGGGCGAGGTGTACAGGAGGTCAATGACGTATCCTCGCTCATCGTGCCAAACTGAGAAGTCCACCGCCTTCCAGCCGATCCTGTGCAAACATAAGAGCATCCTGTGAATGGGGCCTTTCGATTTCCGCCATCCCGTGGATTCCAGATCGAGCTCCTGAGACTGCACAACATCCCTCCATATCTGTATGTGCTGCCGAAACGAGAATGGAGAAGTAGATGGGGTGGTTATCGACCTCCAGAGGCTGGTCGCCCACTGATGGGCAGGGGCCACCGACTGTTTCCATGCAGGGTCCCCGTGTAGGACCAACTTGGCCGTCAGGGAGGTCCCCCGATGAGCTGGGTTTTTTCCTGCTAGCAAGACTCGCTGTAGAGACTGAAGCTCGGTGTCCGACATGCCTAGAACCATGGCGCCATAGCCAGCGGCAGGGCGCACTCCAGCAGTATAAATCTTCTGCATTCTGGATTTGTCCCGAGGAAGTTTACGACGATAGTGAGAGATCAGTTTATGTCTCTTCCTCATCATCCTGAAACGCTCCTTCCTCTTGCCCATGCCTCTTTTGCAAGTTCGCCGTTGGCCTGGTGCCAAGTCCGTGCCCAGCGAGACGGCCGCGCTGGTCGCAGCCGATGGGCAGACAGCACGGAGGCGACGGCATAGGCGGTATGCCAGTCGCTGAGAAGAGGCGAAAGTGACGGCCGTGTCCTCAGCCAAGCGGACGTTCAGCCTGTGATCAAAGACATCCTTGAGGTCAATCCCTGCTCGAACTAAGTTGGCTACAATCGCATCTTCGTCGCCGTATGCCGCCACAGTGTCGTCGTCGACGTAGGACCCAAGGGAGACCTCAGGGTGCCGTTGGGACCACATGTCAAATTCAAACATCGCGTAAACCTTGACAAACACATCGTTGAAAATATCCCCAGCAGGAAGCCCAGACTCTGCAAATAGGACCAGGGGTGAGTGGTTAGCCCCCAGCCTCAGGATCCTCGGGGATCTCCAAAGGTTGTATAGGGTCTTGATGAGCACCATGGGGATCCTCCAGAAGATGGCCCTGTCTCGGAGCCAGACCAAAATAAAGGATTCATAGTACTTCATTCCATCCCAGATAAAACCTGCCGTTACCTTGCCACTTGAAGAAGCCTGCTCCGATAAGACACTCTGGTTCCAGATGGCCGCCTCCGAGTTTTGTCCAGACCCGAAAGACCAGTAGGGCCGATGGGCCCGCTCCAGGAATTCATCACACTGACAACGGCGCAAACGTTCCCAGACGCGAACTGGGGATCCCAAGAGGAGAATGGGGCGTAGTCCTCCCTTAGGCTTCTCCAAGAGGGGCATCAGCATCCACAACAGCTGCGCTGGGAACAGGCCAAGGCGCTCGATCGCCTCATAGAGCATCGCCAGGACCTCCAGCCCTAGGTCGCTCAAGCATGCGAAGTGCCTGGGGTGGTAGCCGTCGAGCGACTGCGAAGTGTAGCGGCTAAAAGAGCGCGATGCTGCTCGTATCTCCGACGGGCTCGCGCGTGGGAAACAATCTCGATTCGGTATCCAGGCCGACGGTGGAGACATACTGGCATTCCAGAACTCGCCTAGCTTGATGGTCTCGGAGGCCAAAAGGCTCTGGGGGTCCGATGTGAAGATCCCTGGGGAGCGCTCAACGATAGTGGGCTGCCACTTTCTCTGAACCTTCGTGAACCTATGCATGAGTCTCGCAGAGCCTGCAAGCGACTTATCCTGCCATGCGTCCCAAGAGTCGCGTGAAAGTTTGTCGCCATTGTTGATGGCCTCTTCATAGTCGGCCTGGATATCTTCCAAAAACTGGGTGACTCGATCGCGCCACGACTGCTCCGAGGGTCGGTCTGCACTCCATGCTATCGCTATCTCGCGCATGGCGCGCAAGGTGGCGTCTAGCCTTGGATTCAAACCTTCGCCTGGGCAGGAGTGTTGCAACACAACCTGGAGGTGCTGGCAAGCATACAGGTCGCAATCCTCAGCGGCGACCGAGTTAAACATCTCAGTGAACGCCTGAAAAACCCATTTCCAACCTGCGATAACCTGGAGTGTGTCATCTGGGTTCTTCGGGCGGTAGAAAACTGAAACCCAAGAGGCCTTGATCGTTCTGCTCCTTTCTCCTAAATCTTTGGCCTCCGCGCCTAAAACTCTGTGCAGCTCCACCTCGGCACAGTCGACAAAGTGACCCCAGGCATTCGACAGCACTGCCCAGGCCTCTGTTGCAGCAGCATGCATACTGGTGGCGATCGCGTGCGCCGCGTGCATCATGGCACCGTTCCACTCGACAGGTGACGGAGACGGTCCGAAAGGCGGATCGACTGGCAGACGTTGGTGAGTGCGGTATACAAGCTGCTTTAAACGGAGTGTGTCACCTCGGAACTCAACGCGAACAGGACGGTGAGGTTTTACTTCCCAGGAGGTGTCCGCCGATACCAGGGTAACCAGATGGGCGATCCCAGGACCCATCACAAAATAGTCAATCACACTGTTCGAAGTCGGGGAGCGACAGGTGAACGCCCGCGGTGACAGGATGAGCATACCTAGCTTCCGAGGGGATCCAGATGCTTCCAGTACCTCAGGACTCATATTCCAATCTCCTCCCAAGATCGTGTGCGTCGGGTCGGTGATCGACTGACCTATCGACTTCAAAATCCCCAGGTTGGCCTCGCTAAGGCCCTCAGCGGACCGCATATAAACCGAGTAAAGCGACAAAACAGGCCACCCAGGGAACTCAATCAAGACCTTGACGACTCTGTGGGCACATATGCACCCGTTGCCTTCAGCGGGCCATCGAAGTCCCACTGCTAGTCGCGCGAATACTGCTACTCCCGATGATAACTTCCCAGACTCAGCATTGATACGAGCAGGAAGGATGAGAGAGTGCCAGCCGAGCGAGCGAGCTGCAGCTGTGGCCTGACCGACGAACTCCTCGCTGATGCCAACCTCTTGGGCACACAGCACGACAGCGTCCGTCTCGGCCAAACGTCGGCGCAGAGTGCGCCAGCATGAGCCGTTGAACGACTCCAAAAAATACTTGCGAACGTCACTATCTGTCGGTGATCTATCGGGCGCCCCCTTCAGCGGGGGAACTGGAACACCTGCGGTGGATAGTGGAACCCCTGAGAGCAAAGGTACTGCTAAGCCCAACATAGTGTCACCCACACTTTTGCTTCTTAGCTTTGACCCCCATCTCTCGAAGGAGATTGGCGAAAACTTCGGCGTGATCCTCCTCCTCTTTCCGTGCGGCCGAAAGAAGTAGCTGAATCTTTTCTCCTTCCAAATCCTCCAAGTCCATATCTTCAGGGACGGGTATGCTTTGGTGGGAAGCCCCTCCTCCCTCAGTGGCGGGGGAAGGTGGGGCAGTGGGAGTAGCAGGTGCAGGCCCCGAGGCCTCCTGCTTGACCTTGTGCTGCGCCCGCAGCAGCTCCTGGAACTTGATGAAACACGGCGAGGCGACCATCTGCTGCACCTCATCGGGGGCGGAGGCGAGGATGTCAGGGTGGAGCTCAATCTTGGGCTCCGTGGACGGGTCCTGTGACGGAGCCACCTCCTGCACCATGCTGCGCAGCTCCACCTGGTACGCCGAGATCTCGACCTGTGTGGCCCTGATCTTCTCGCGCTGCAGTTGAAGGCGCTCCTGAGCCTCCTTGACAGCCTTCTCCTGCTCGACCATCTCCTCCTGCAGCTTGGACAACTTCTGCTGGGAGCGCGCCAACTTGTGGCCGAGGGTGTTGTGCCTGGTGACGGCAGGCTTGCGATCCGTGATCGACTTGCGCACAGCCAGCAGCTCAGACTCCATCTGCGACTGCAACGATTAGGGGGGGGGCGGCGTTTGCGCGTGAGGGGCCGTTGCTTTCTTGATTGCGCCCGAGGGCCCGCTCATCTTGTGCTTCGTACGGCCTATGGCCTGCGGTGAAGGCCATGCAGACGAACACACTACTGCTCAAGCCCTCCGACTACTTTTATGGACATAGCCGTGTCCGTACCCCCGATAACTCCCCACCGCGCCGCCAGTGGCCCCGGCCACCCCGACCGACAACTGCAGCGACACGTCCGCTTTGTCTGAGTCCTGCTGACCGTACGGACATATCACCTTGCCCCGCACACCCTCGTTATTGGCCAACCACTCCCATTGTGTGATGTCGATGGCTAGTGCACCACTGCTTGGTGAGGGCCTCCAGCTGCTTCTCCAACTTCGACGAGGACGAAGGAGGTCCGCCAGCCCATGCACCGCGAGGACGAGCGCCACCATCACGAGGGGCAGGCACAGGACCTTGCGCTCTGGCCTTGGCCGCCGCCGACTTGGCGCGCTGCGTGATCGCCTGGGGCGCTGGCTTGCCGCAGGCGCAGCGGATGCGGGACGCCCAGTTCTGGTTGCGCCCGCAGCCAGGGCATCCCCAGGTGGGGAAGCGCGGACCCGCGAGCACGTCATCGACATCGCGTCCCATGGGAGGGCTGCCTCCGCCTGAGACGTAAGATTGCTCCCACAGGAGCTCACTGAAAGCGTGAGGGTTGAGATCCCTCGAACTGAAGGGAAACAAGCCACAATGACTCGCGAGAGCGACTGCCGCTCTGAAGACTGCTCTCGCAAGCCCAGAAAAAAATCTGGGCCAGAACGGCTGAGGAGGAGGAGGAGGAGGAGGAGGAGGGGGAGGAGGAGGAGGAGGAGGAGGAGGAGGAGGAGGAGGAGGAGGAGGAGGGAGGAGGAGCTAAGCCCCGGGCCCCGCGGGACCCGCCCTGGCCCTGCGGCGGCGGGGTCGGCGACGCGGGCGCGCCGGCGGCGCCGGCGGGCAGTGCGCTGATGGCCCTGCGGCGCTGCGCGATGATGTCCTGTCAGGGGCCGCGGCCCGAAAAAAACCTTTAAAAAAAATCGAGCGTCTCGAACAAATCGAACAAAAATCTACGCTTTTTGTCGTTTTCGGGCTCTCGGGGCCCTCACCGGGGGCCTCGGGACCGTCAACAAAAACGGCTCGGGATGGAAAAGCGGTCCCGGGGAAGTGGTCGAGAGGTCGGGGGCCCGTGTCTCGAAAAAATCGAGGCGCCGGATGTCTGGGTCGGGGCCGACCTCGGGCCCCTCAGCTGAGCATCGTTGAACCGATCCCCATCCCCAGCGGCGTGGCCTGGGCCCCACTGGCCGATTTACCCCCTGGATGGGGATACAGGTCGTTCTCTTCGGGTTTCGAGGGGTGTATCCCCAACTGGGGTGGTAATTTGGTGGGGGTCTCGAAGGGAGCGGAGATGGGGATGGGGATCGGTTAAGCGATACCGATCAGCGGGGCCCCCCACCTCTCGGCGGCCAGCGAGGGGGAGGGAAGCGAAAAAGAGAGGGCCTCCTCAGCAGACTCGGAAGTCCCCGGGCCTTCGGAGAAGCTGGCGAAGCCTTCCCCGAAGGCACAGGTGCACTTCTCAGAGGGCCCGAGGGCGCCTGAAGCCCCGCCGCCTTCTACGAAGGCCTTCGCCTTCTCACGTCTCCCCCCTGGGCGCGCTGCCGAAGATCGGTCAAAATGGGTCCCTGGACCCCTTCCTGGGGTCCATCCGACCCGGCTTTTCACCCCAAATCGAGTTCCAGGGGCCCTGGTGAGCCCCGAACTTTGAACCTCCTCTCGGACCCCCATCGAACCTCGAACCTCAAATCCTTCTCATTCCCCCCGCCCCCCCCTCGCTCGCCGCCGAACCTCCCATCGTCTTCTCTTGCATTCGCGCCGGGCGGTCCCCTGAGGCCTGCGGTCCGGGGGCATGTCGCCAGGCCGCGGGGCCGCCCACAGAAACGGCTCGGGAGCGGCCGCGAGGAGCACGGTCCGGGGGAGGGGTCCAGGGTTCCAGCCCGAGCCTCAGCCTAGCCTAAGCCCCCGCCATGATCTGGCCGAAGCCTGGCCTAAGCCTGAGCCTGAGCCCAGCCTCAGCCTGAGCCCAGCCTCAGCCTCAGCCTCTGCCTGGCCTCCGCCTCTGCCTCAGTCTAGCCTGTGCTGGCCTTAGCCTGAGCCTCAGCTTCGGCCCAGCCTAGGCTTCAGCCAAAGTGTTGGCTAAGCCTGGCCTGAACCTCAGCCTAAGCTTAAGCACCAGCCTCCGCCAAGCCTAAGCATCAGCCAAGCCTAAGCCTCAGCCTATCCTAGGCTTAGCCCAAGCCTAGCCGAAGCCCATCTTAAGCCTCAGCCTGGCCTAAGCCTCTGTCTCAGTCTAAGCCTCAGCCTCAGCCTAACATAAAGCTCAGCCTCAGCCTCAGTTTCTGCCTAAGCCTAGCCTCGGCTTCAGCCTCAACCTCAGCCAAAGCCTAGCCTGAGCTTCAGCCCTAGTATTACTGCTACAATACTCTGGCATTACTATTACCACATGACTACAACAGTGCTACTACTACTACTACTACTACTACTACTACTACTACGACGACGACGACGACGACAACGACGACGACGACGACGACGACGACGACGACGACG